ATCTGCTTCTGGAAACTGGTGGTGGGGCACCGGGACCGCTTCCATAGTCTTCGAAGTGGTACACTTTGGTGGGGATACCACTACTGGGGTGGTATTCCACTTTGATATCGTCAATTTCGTGCTGGGGTGCAGGCGATGCTGTTCCAGATGGTGGCGGATCACCTGTATAGACATAAGTTGAACACATGATGATACAAAGAAATGACGAAAACATACCATCAGAATCGGTTCCGTCCCACATCGGCATCATGTTGGTAGTCCATTTGGTTATCGAAATCGAAATCATCACCCTCCAAACGATTGTCGATAGCTTGCGTCAATGCACGACAGGTCAGTGTTGGTGATCGAGGACAAACGAAAGTGACGGCTTACAAGATGTTGAGCCACTGATGGAAGGACGGACACCAGCAAACACACTACCCTGATGCGCCTGTTCTTGCTCTACAATTAATTAACATTAGTGTAGAATCAAAATGATGCTAGTAATATAGTAATAGACGTACCTTGACGAATGACCCTAGCAAGCTCCAAATCCTCTCTTCTTTGTTCAGAGCGCCTCTGGCAAGCCTTTTCGTGTGTTCGGAATCCTTGGCGATGAAAGGATCGGCCACAATGATCACAGGATCGTTGCAAATCGGCGGGCATCTAATATGATATTGAAACTGGGACACATCAGCGTCAGATTCATCAGAGACAGTGACGAGACTTACATGAATTGTTAGTGAAGATGGGTGTAAAATCACCTCTCAAGACAGCAGATGGTGTGGCACTTTGATTGCGAAGTGCTGGAGGGTGAAGTCGGGTATACAAAGCTTGCAGAATCTGAAATATGTAAGTGATTTGAATCAGCAGACTAATGACATTTAAAAGACGCAGATCTGCCAATGAAATTATACAAATCAGAACTGTAACAAGGAGAACAGACGATACTAACGAGGGCTGAAGTTGTTGGTGAAGGGGTGTTGAGAGGATGGTGCGGTATCTGAATTAACAGCTGGCTACAGCGTTGCAATTGACGTACCGAGGGTCTAGGTCCGGCATCAATATTACAAATCAGTTACAATGATGCAACTCTGGTATAAATATTCCTAATGGGTTTTAAGAATAGAACTTAAGTTTCAATATCGTGACTCGGTATCAATACGGTTGATACCGAGTCTCACAGGCACGCTGTTGCAACCGACTTACGAAATTTCCGACAAAGCTACCCTGCGAACAGCACCAGTCAATGGATGACACTTTCGACTCCAGTCAGCATCAACTGCACGAGCCCAGGTGAGTTATTACCTTACATATCTGGACTCTCTTATGTGGCGTTCCAATATGATGTTACCGCCTTTGGTCCTTGTTAAGAGTCTTGGGATGTAGATGCTTGCGCTAAGGTTCATCAAATCACCATCAAGAATAACAACTGAGGCCTCACACGGTCATAACTGTGCGTCCGACTCTTCTTTTCTCCCATGTCCTCTCTCAACGCTATCTTTATCTGGGGATGGCTTGTATATTCATCAGATATCAATCACAGAATATCAACTACGATGTTTCTGGCTGTGAAAACCGATGCCTGTCACCAGTGACTCACCACCACGTCAACTTCACGACGCAAATCGAAGATTCTGAGCTTACCATTTTGGCATCCTTATAATAGGATAGCCCGATGAGGAAGGCAGAGAGCGGGAAGGTGTGCGTGAAGCAACAAAGGGGCGAGGGCCAGGTTGAGATATGAAACAAGGTAACGACATCACGAACAAATCTTGATGTTCTTCCATCTTTCCGGTATCCAAGTGTTTCGCCCGTGCAAATGCTTCACTACCAACGTCTACCAGAAGTGCGACACCTCTCGCGTTGCCAATCACACACCAATAGGTGCCGGAGAGAACAAGATCCTTTGGTGTTTGTCACCCAAGTCATTCATCTATGATTAAAGCTTACCCCATGAGCTACGGTGTTGGCGATTCTGATGGCAAGGGACAATGAGAAACATCAACACTTTTATAGATAGCTGATACACTGCATACAACCGAGCGATCATGATGACTTGCGTGACGTTTCAGTCAAGTCGATATCCATGAAATATGTAGATCACCACCCAGTGTTGCATCCAGGACCTCATTCGTGCTTGCTAGTGCGTCGTACATCTCGTTCATGATGTGTAACCATCCAGTACTTGTAACGTCGAAGTGAGGGATGGTATCTAAGATCTAATTGTTCGCAGCAAGTGTTTCAGCATGAATTCAAGTAGGAAGGGAAAATGCATCCAGGAATATCGATCGGATCAAAGTCAAGGTGTTCTTGGCATTGCGAGGTTCAGCTTCAGCCCATCAACGACACCATGTATTATATATCAACACAGGCTTGAACAGCGCCCAAGTTGACATCGTGGCAAGCATTTTTTGAAAAGGTCAACAATGGTTTTGGACCCTAGATGCCTGAAATTCACACCACTGACCCAATGCTCATACTTGATTATGCGTAATCACAAACAAGCGAAAATGCACAACCTTTCATCTGATTCATGTACAGTCGAGTAGTACGAATGTGGCCACAAGTACATGCATCCAATCCCCTATCATGGAACACGATCAACGTATGGCGCTTGTGCATGTACAAAGAACACATCACCCGTGGGAATTTGTTATTGATTTCAAGATTCTCAGAGCCAGTACAACAACTACGATTCGGCCGCCACAATTGATGCAGGTTGCGGTGATCAGATCGGCGGCATCGAACCTTGTCTGCTCACTTTCGCATCACTGCCATTTTATTCAAGGCCTGATAGCGTCAATTCACGATATGATATGCATTGGTAGGAACGGATATCTATATCATCCCTCGATCTCATTTTGGTGATCCAAGCGCTGGATGTTTGTATATCTAGCACGAACGACATCGTCGTATGTCTACCAAGTTCCCCGCTCCCTCAAATACATCCTCTAATAGTATGCCCCTAGTCTCAGACGACCCTAGTTATTGGCCACTCATCAACTCTTGGCGTGTTGGCAGCTATTTCGTAGGTTCGTGAAGAGTAGTTAGATGTTGACGATGATGTGTTAATCTACTAGTAACCTTGTCTGCGGTTTCGTAGTTGCCGCCTTTGCTGGAGTGACATATGATTGGGGTGAGCATGATAACCTTACAGAATTTCTGATTTCCTACGCTTATTTACAGCCCTTATGTTCGGACAAGAGGTATGTTGATGCTATGACCGGAGCGGCCATCTCACTAAGAATATTTTGATAGGTTGAACTAATCTGGGTGAGCAGAGCTCCATGTCAGAAGAATGACATTGATTTGCGACAGAGGCAACGTTGGTCCCTTATGACCGTCCTCTATCTGAGTGTATGTATCTTGCCTGTTGTGAAGTTGTGCTGACTTGACAATATCCTAGCTGCGCTATCTTGGACTATTATATGTCATGTATGTTCAGAAGGCTAAACAACTGGTGTTTTGCTGATTGGCCATCTCTCACGCTCAGCATGGACATACCACGTATGTCTTCTCACATTGACATTGTTTGTTTCTCCTGACCTGCAGCATACAGTCAGTGCTCCAACGGTCTCCATCAGTAAAATACCACGGTTCTTAATTTAACTTATTACGAACTTATTTTACTTGGTTTGGCGCCCAAGTGCGTCAAGATGTTTAAGGCTTCGATTTGACTTGGATGGCAACTTGAGTGTCTTACCATCAAGCCGACAAAGACGCTCAGACAATTAAAGTATTTTTAAGACAAATTTTGAACTTAAGCATTGCAAGAAAAAATGAATATATTAAGATGCCAGCTCGAAAGCATGGTGATCAATGAACCGATTTACGTAGAATCCTCGATATACATCCAGAGAATCGTAGAATCGAAGGCCGCGTGGTACGAGCTGAGTACCGAATATTGGGAGTAAGTGAGCACCGCGAATGATACTGTCAATATGGATGATGGACAAATCGCGAGAGCCGTCTTCATTGAAAGACGGTGCCACCATCCACATTCCTGTGAGCTCGTCTCGTTCCTCGGCGATGCGATGGAACCATTGAACGAGGGCACATGGGTATGTGTGACTGTTAGTAAAAGTAAAAGAGAAAAAACAGAATATTCGAACGACATCCATGCTCAACATTCCATCATGCCTATTGTCCGTGTTGACGAAGGCGCAGTCAAAGCGAGCTGGTCCCTTGCGCCACGAAGGCACAACGCGAATGTGCTCACGGCGCATACCAGTGATTCCACTCGGATCACTGGGTGCGATAAATGTTGCAGCGGCTGAATGAAATATCTTGATTGGTCCCGTGTAGGATGGACAGTCGCGAAGGGGGACATCGGCAGAAGAATGGTGGTTGTCCGCGTGTATTTGGTCGTACAGGAAGAGGCGAATGAGGGTCGGGAATGATGGGATGTCAAGTTCGTCTGCGAGATCAGCAACGGTACGGGCGCGTTTTCGTTCTGAACGGTGTGTTAAGAACGAAGGTCACAGTGAGTAGAGGGTTGGATACGCACGAAAGGTCCGTGCTAATTGCACATCAGCAATGACATCCACGTCATCTACAACACCCTGATCCTCAACATCGTCAAAGTCGTCACTCTCGATAGCAAAGGGGTTGCTTCCTGCATGCGCTGGGTTTGGTTGGACCTCTGGGTCTCCATCGTCGTTGTCAATATATGAGGGATTCTCAACTAGAAATTCAGTGAGTAAAATTCAATTAAAATAAAACAGACCACGTACCAAATGAATTGTAGTAGCTGAAGGCACAAGACCCTTTGAGCATGCCGCGTGTTGTGAAATCAACTCTTGCTGCAGCGACTTTGTCCAGGCGCTGATTGGTAAGGAGCATCTGGCTGAGCACGTTGTACTTGCTTGAACGTCGCCATGGTTGCTTTACCGCCTTGATATGTTTTGATTCCGTGATTGACGAGCAGAGGCCGTTCGGAGCACCGAACATTCGGATGAGAAGCTCATAGTGGATGAGAGAGTGTTGTCGGGGTAGGGAAATGTCGAAGCGGACGCCAGTAGTCTGGAAAATAGTCCGGTAAGTATGAAAACGCCCAAGGGCATCTTTCAGCGCTGCGAGAGTGTCGTCCGTCACTACGTTTGCGCGCACGATGTAGCAGAACTCTAGCAAGGCTCGAAATGCCCGAACCATATCATCTGGTACGTGGCCCTCGATTGCTGGTAGATAGACCTAGATAACAGCTGTGTAAATTTGATGAACGTGAGATAGTGAATGAAAATGTACCTTCATCAAAGCTTTGGAGTCGTCACCTGTCCATTGTGAGAATCCACGGCCTTGTGGAAAGCGTCGTAGGCCAGGGAAGGGCGGCGCGGAAGCAATTCTAGTGTATTGTCAGTAATCACAACAGGCAGCGGCAGATTGAAAATACCTTCGGTCAATATCATCTAAAATCGCCTTGGCGCGTGTTTTGCCGTGCGTGAGTTCGAGGTATTGACCCACCCATTCAACAAGGTGGTCCTTGAAGGTTCCTTTGATGAGCTGGTGCAGTATGTCGGGGGCAAGGAGCTCGTGAATGTCGGCACGAGGAAAGTCGTTGGTGAAGGGCTATGAAGTGCAACCGTTAGTTCAACAATGCACAAATGATATGGGGGGAAAACATACCACTAACTCGCCAATGATACCATACTCGTCCCAAAGTATACCAAAATCTATAGAATCCACAAGCGCATCAGTATGTTCGCGTGACCGAGAAACACCTCCTTCATCAAGACTTGAGGGAAATGCAAGGCATCTGTGAATACAAATGAGACTTTGCATAGTAAAACCAGAGAGAACTAAAAGGGGGGAGGGGGAGGAGGGGGGGGGGGGGGGGAACATGGCAGATACATTGAGGACATCGCGTAAAACTTCGAGGAGGATCCCTCTGGGGGTCATGAATGCGGATACGAACAGGCGGTGTCCTGAAGATCCCTGGGGGTCATGAATGCGGATACGAATAGGTGGTGTCCTGATATGAATGCGGATACGAACAGGCAGTGTCCTGAGGATTGCTGGGGGGTCATGAATGCGGATACGAACAGGTGGTGTCCTGATGATCCCTGGGGGTCATGAATGCGGATACGAACAGGCGGTGTCCTGAAGATCCCTGGGGGGTCATGAATGCGGATACGAACAGGCGGTGTCCTGAGGATTGCTGGGGGATCATGAATGCGGATATGAACAGGCGGTGTCCTGAGGATTGCTGGGGGATCATGAATGCGGATATGAACAGGCGGTGTCCTGAGGATTGCTGGGGGATCATGAATGCGGATACGAACAGGCGGTGTCCTGATGATCCCTGGGGGATCATGAATGCGGATACGAACAGGCGGTGTCCTGATGATCCCTGGGGGTCATGAATGCGGATACGAACAGGCGGTGTCCTGAGGATTGCTGGGGGATCATGAATGCGGATACGAACAGGCGATGTCCTGAGATGAATGCGGATACGAACAGGGGATGTCCTGAGGATCTCTGGTAGCCACTTACCTTCCACACCAATCTTTGACCATGCACGCCAATACTACCTGCTCTTCGTAGTCTGCAATGTAGGGTCCAAGGCCATATATAATGCGCCGGTAGTGTCCGTCGCCACACCGTGTGACCTCTGGAGTTGTCATTCCAGGTTTGAGATTGGCGAAGATCCTGGACAATGAGGAGTGAAACAACTGCTTCTTGAATTTGCGGTATCCAAGTTCATCTGTATTTCTTTTTTCCGCTGCATACAACGGTGTAAGCTTCAAAGTAGATTAGGAGAGAATTAGGTACATACTCTTAGGGATCGCCAAAAATCCAACCAGAGCCAATGCGTTGCGATGCGCCCGCCGGACGTTATTGTGAACGTTCCCAATCGAGAGATATAGAGGGTAGTAGTCGTTTTGACCAGTAGCGACAGACACGGTCGTCTTGTCACTGCCTACAATGATGGGAACGAAAGCCGCACCATGCGTTTGTGGGTCCTGTGCGATTTGGTCCTGTACCTGACATCAATATGAGAATATACTAACAAACACAAAATACGTACTGCTTGCTGCCAGGCCCAGTCTCCTGACATGAAATCCTTATAGCGGCGTTGCTCATCCTTCTCCTGAAATTCACGGTAGGGCATATAATCAATTCCACCTTTGAAATCTGGATTTGCGAGCATGTTCTTGACGACGGTATGAGGGTCCCGGAACCAAACCTCGTGCGACTGTTCCATCCAAAGTGGACACTCTCCAGCAGGTTTATCGCCATTGTACTTCAGGGAGAAGCTTTCCCATGCGACATCGCCTAGCGGTGTTGCATCGATAGTATTGTACAGGTCCTTGTAGTCGGCAAATGGTGGATTGTCGCGATGAACAGCGAGAGTGATTCCCCACAAGTAGAGAATCTTGTTTATATCACCAGCGGACATCTGGTTTTCAGTGTACATGAAATCTGCGCACTCAAATTCCAGTCGGTTGCGATACGGAGTCCAGTCGTCAGGACTTTTTGCTGTGTATGGTGGAGGAGGAGTGCCAGGGTCAACAAAGTTGCCATTCTCATCACAAATACGACCTGTGGGTATAGGTTTCAATCAGAGACAAGCCGGCACCGCAGCACAACTATTGACTTACCAGTCAGCGTCTCGTGATAATCACGAATAAGTCCATGCTTCGACTCCCAGAGCTCATTGTTGGTGCGTCTGGGAGCTTCTTCATCTTCAATTTCTTCAACAGAGGCGTGTTGTGTGCGTTGTGATCCAGGATGGGTAAACGAGTGGCTATGGGCCGAGCTTTGATGAAGTTTCAGCCCAGAGGAATTTTTCAACCAGCGTTTGCAGCCTGGGTAGGGACACTGGATGCGGCGGGCGCTAAACGCTCGTCGTTTGAGCTGCGCATGAGGGATCTCGTCTGGCATGATGGATGGGAGGCTAACTGAAAAGCGCAAACCATTAGCAAACACACTAGGGAGAATGTAATGTAATACATACAAAACAGGGTGTGCGACACGTAACTTAGAGTTTCAAAGTCCATAGTGACCGCTCAACCTTACACCAAATTTTCTCCTCCACAAGCCCGACCGTTCAAACAATGGTGCGCCCAAACACTCGTCCTAAAAATGCGAACCAGCATCCTGGTGAGATCCTCCTCCAAAACAAGAGGAAAAGGCGCACTGCTCGTCAAATCCAGGAAGACAACGACCAAGCCGAGCATGAGCGGCAGGAGAAAGAAGCCGCTGATCAACGCACCACCGAGAAGATTGCGTCTATTGAAGACAAGAAGGCATTGAAGGACTTGAAGATCCTTTTGCATGCGCCAAAGCCTCGGCCTCGGGCGCGTCCTGTGTCGAAGTCGAAGGTGAGCCAGCCGAACATTGAGGATGACGAGGAGATTGTAGAAGCAGCTGAGATGGGGGATGTCGAAATGGAGGACGTTGCTGCAGGCGATAATGATGGAGATAAGGACTTTCAACCAAGGTAAGGTTCCAGGAGACTCACCATACACAGAGACTGACTATGTTGTATCCAGTGAGGAGGAGAATGAAGAGGTGCAGCCGAGGAATAAGCGTGTCCAGAAGACAGCATATCGCGAGGCTGTCCATGCTGAGCGAAGTGTTAATAATACAGGCATCAACATGACTCACAATCAGAATTCGAAGGTCGATATATCAGATCAGGCTGATCCAACGGCACGTGGTGACCAGAAAGGCAAGAAAGGAGTGTAAGTCGATTATTGTTCCCATCTGCCATGTTGTTACTCACCGAAACGACTCTTTTTCATCTCGATCACCTCAATCGATTCAGTGTGGATGTCTGCGCCGCCAAGGACGACTATGCGGGGATGGGGAAAACAAAGGACTGGGCTGAGAAACTTGCAACAAGCAAGTTGCTCCGCCCTCAACTTGAAAGCCTTCGCACTGAATCACACAGACGGGTGTCTTCAATCACCACCTCAACTGCTGTTTCAAGGATCTCGAAAGTCACTAGCGCCAGGGCTAATCCCACTGGCAGCCCGCACCCCACAAACAATGTTCAAGGCAATCTCGAAGAACCTACCACAGCGTTTCTGGACGAGGACGATTCACTTGAGCGTGAGGCTGCTTTCAAGGCTACCAAAAAGCCTGGTGCCAGGCATACGACTTCTGCGGTATTTCTTTCATTTTTCATGCATTTGCATCACACTCACTCCCCACTCAGGATATATTGGAAGTCAGTGATAACAGTTTATCACCGCCTCCATTGCGACCAAAGAAACGCTCACCAATAATGGCAAGGACCGAGTCCTTATCCTCCCCCCCTCCTCGTGCCCCCCCTTCTACGCAACCATCCAGAGCCACCGCCAGGTTCATCCCGACTGAGCCCGTTACTGACTTGTCAACGGACATTGACTTTGGCGAGAGCGAGGACACATCACCGCCCCCTGCTCCTGTATCAGCAAAAGGCACCAAACGCCTAACAACTTCAGTAAGCCGGTACTTATTTTGTGATACCCTTCTCATTTTCTCTCCGCTAAACATAGACCGGCGTCAGCATCAATAGCCAACCCCCCCCTTCGAAACGAGCAAAGACAGAGCCGCAGAGCAAGAGTGTCACGTCACGCCGCGATGGCAGTGGCGCCAATCACCGGTACCAGAACGATGACCTTCCTGAGAGATGCCAGGATGGTAATACCTGGCGCCGGGTGTTCATACCAACTGTCGCACACTGGGCTGGTGGAGAAGTTGAGCCTTGGGGTCCTGAAGACGAAGATTTAAGGGACGCCATGCAGGAGATCTGGAACTACATATACCGGGGTAAGATTCAGCACGAGATCTCTAGATCTGGTGCCGTTTTAAAAGTGGTAAGTCTATAGTTGTTTTTCAGTCATTCAGATGTTAACCAACATTTAGGCCAAACAACGCCTTATGGAATGGCGTGGAGGGTTCGGTATCGCAGCATGCTCCATCCTCACTGCATTTTTTGCGCAGGACGCTGATTTTTTGGATCCTGCGGCTCGCGAGGACTTTTCAAGGGCCATGCTGAAGCATAACCGGTTCATTTTCAGGGATAATTCAGGACTCATTCCCAAGGTAAGTGGCTATAATAATTACTATGAAACCATCTAATTATTTGTTCAAAGGACTGGACGGGTATGTGGAGATCCCCCTTCGTACTTCAGACATTCGCATCACACCTCAATTTCACCTTCGGCCGTGTTGAAGTCCCCAACCTTGACACCGAGAGCATTAGTGCGCGGGCTGCATTTGCCCTCGCCGTTACTGCTGTAAGTCATTCGATTTCTACCGTTCATTGTCTAAAAATAATATTTTCAGGTTTATCGTACTCTTCAGCTCATCATTGATGGGAACCTCACCTTCGAAGTCATTCAAGAATCCCGCGGCAAACGCAAAGGTGCGAAGACCGACGGCGGCGATATCTGGACCCCCATCATCACGAAGGGCGAGCAGTTTGCTTTCAGCAAACCTATCTGGGGGCACATGACCGTCAAACTCATGGGCCCCATCGTGGCGCTTTCCGACAATGCCTTCGCGAGCATTGTTGGGGAGGCACAACAGTATGCGAAGCACGCGAAAAGCATCGGGAACTCGAGGACTACCACCAGTGAAGCGCCTGACGAGGATGATGTATTTGCTGACCTCTTTGCATTCCGTTGAAGCCGCTCGGCGCTGTTTTTTTTTGTCGCTCATTATATCCACGTCCCATGCTCCCCGCCGTCGCCTATTTTATTTTTATCATCTGTCTCTGATCGCATCTTGTTGGCCTTGCATACTTAGAGCTTATTTTGTCTTACTGTATAAATTTAAGTAAATTCAAGTTCTATTAAGTCTTTTGTTGGTGTAAGACGAGAGGCTTATGTTAAGATTAAGGTCTTTGAGAAAGACCGACTTATATTGACTTGGCCGCAAATTTAAGCTCATTAAGTAAATTTAAGAACCGTGGTATTTTACTGATGTCATTGACAGATACAGTGAGTCTTCGGCACCGATACCTGTTATTCCGCTCCAATTAACCATGACGCCCTGTAGGGGTGAGTGTAATTCTTGACCAGCTTCTTCATTCACTATCATGACTACTATAGATGTAAAGTCTGTTGGGAGTGTGTGATCCACCCGAAGCTGATTACTAACTGGATTCCTCAGGCCAGATAGTGTACCTCGTGTGGGAATGGATGAATGCTGTGGCATTTCCAATACTATATGGTGAGTCAGTTGCAAGACCTGTGATAATGACTTGACTGAAATATGTTGCAAGTCATCATGATCATTCGGTTACATGCCATGTACCAACGATCCAGAAAGATCCTGATATTTCTCGTCGTCGTGTTCTTGGCTGTCAACATTCCTAACGGAGTGGTCATTGTAATGACAACCAGGGATATTTCAGGGGGTATACTTAATTTTGAATAAAAAAATGTGCATGGGGCTCATTGATGACCATCAGAGGAACTCCTTCTCTCCGGCACCTATCAGTGCGCGATTGCCAACTATGTGAGTAACCCGGATATCATACATCTGGGTACCATTAGTTGGATACTCGACACTGTCTGGGAGGTCCTCGCACTGTGTCTTGCAGTCTGGATTGCTGTCAAACACTTCCGTGAACTGCGACAATATTCGGCAGGAGGGATTATTGGGGACTGTTTTATGGTGTTGATCAAAACTCACGTGCTTTACTTTGCGAGGTGAGCTCATTGTGAATATGTTCCATTTTCCACTGAATGATTGAACGTGCTAGCTTTGTCGTTGTTTTTTGCTTCAACCTCATTGTTGATTTGTCTCCAGCGATCTCAACGGTATGCTAATCTTCCACTGACCTCTGAATGCGACCGCGGTCCATCATTTCTATAGGACCTATTTTCCCTGGAAATTCAGACTGTTCTCGGTGTTATTCAGATTTTTACAGTCATACAGTTCTTTGTGCTGGGACCACGCCTGATCCTTGGCGTTCGAGAATATCACGCTCAGCTCGTGGCCAACTCCGACGCAGCAACTGACATGATCTCAATCGCTTTCCAGGAGCGCGTGCATATATCGACTGGCAGTGGTGTGTAGCACGGGAGGTCCCCGATGAAGTCAACGGTAGTCTGGTGGTCTGCAAGGACCAGGGGAATTTGCTTTTTCTTGATTTTCAAGTTTGGTCGTGGTACTTATTTATTTAGTGTTGCAAAGTGGATTTCAAAGAGACATAGGTCTTCGCAAATATGTCGTCGTATCATGTGTTCAAGTTATTTGTTCTGAAGAACGTTGAAAGAGACAGGACGAGGTGTTGACTCAGACCGGGATAATCATTATGGAGTACAAGAAATCAACGTGGTATAGACATTGATCTTTGAGTGCGCATGTGGTTGAACATTGAAAATATTCGAATGCGTAGTACTGCTGAGGATATCTGAAATTTAAGAAAGTGTTGAATAAAATTTTAGTGATGTTCCGGCCCGGCTTGGCCCAAAAGCCACGGCTTTGGCCTGGCTTTAGACGGCTCTGGCCTGCAAAAAATCAAAGCCGGGCCAAAGCCGCAAATGACGGCTGGCTTTGGCCTGGCTCTGGCCTGAGCCGCGGCTCGAGTAGGGAATTTACAATTCTGACAAGACTCACCTGCCAGTGCGCGCCTCAGAATGCAAATCGCGACGATTCACTCTCGCTTCGGGCACAAAATGCTGACGGACGAGGTTTTCAGTCATCCGGATCAGATGGGCTCGCGTTTCATTATGGGTTTTTTTCGCTGCGTGAGAGACTCAGAGAGAGGAGGGTAGTCGTCTCGTAAATATGATTCTTCAAGTGATTTTTTGACGTCGAGGCCTGCGAGTGTCAAAAGCGCACCATTTCGAAGGCAAGGAAGCCGACGATATCGACGGTGTCGTCGTTAGCTTTGAGGTCCAGGTGTGGGGGAAGGTTGAGAAAGTCGCGGAAGCGCTTGGCTAGTCGTTTGTCACATCAATAAGATTTGAGTTACCTAGTTCATGAAACGGCTTTACCTTTTCGATATGTAAATGATGCTTGTCTACAATCTAAATAATGTGATAGTAATCTTTTGCGCCTTAGTCGTTAGTTTGTCTGCGCAGATGTCAGCAGACCAACAGCACACGTGGAATGTTAGTGCAAGCTTGAGACGGTGCAAAATGTAACAGCTTGTAAGACTCACAAAAGCTCTTGGTCTCCGAATAATTTTGGATAAAATGGGTGCATTCACGGGTCTGCTGAGAGATCTGTCCAAGGATAATGCGCATCGACAAGATTTGGTGAAGCATCTCATCTTGTGTCACGAAGCTGTAGAGTTTCTGTCCAGAGATACAATTGAGCGCGTGAATTAAAATGAACGAAGAGGCGAGAGAATTGAAGCTATGTACCTTGGTAGCATCTGGACTATATTAGGTAGCATGCCTGAATCTGCCACAGAAAAACTCACTTTTGTATTGGCGAAAGTCAAGTTTGAGAACAAAATTTTATGTCGGAAGTTCGTTGTTGTTGTTGTTGTTGATAGTACATAGGGTAGCCCTAGAGCCGTGGCCCAGGCCGTCGGCTTTGGCTTTCCAGAATTCCAGGCCGGGCCAAAGCCATGATCAAGCCGTCACTTTGGCCCGGCTTGGCCTGGCCTAATTGGGCCCGGCTTGGCTCGGCCCACGGCTTGAAGCCGGGCCATGCACATCACTAGTTGAATTCCCATAGCGCAGATCATAATTTGACACTCGAGAGGCGAGTTATTGCATTTAACTCGTTCATTTATTTGCGTTCTCATTCACATCACATACCTAGCCTATACAAACTAACAACGGCTATTATAGATCAAGACATCGAATCGTACCCGTGCATGAGATTATAATGCAGGCGAGCACCTAGCAAGCTACATAACTCCCCCGCCGCCCATTCAAAACATCGATACGTCAACTGCAAGATGTATAACGAATTTAGTGTGGTGCGTTTGAGAATCAGTTTTCGTCAGTCGTTCTAGGCCAACCCTAGGCCCTTACCATATCTTTCGCATTTACGCCCGAAGCCCTAGGCCGAGTCAGTAAGGCGGAGACGCTGCCGATATTCATTCGGAAGCCCCGACTCGTGTTTCGTACCCAGATCCTTGTGTACAGAAATAAAAGGGGCTGTCGTGCATGAGCATCTGGGGATGCGAGGAGCGACCACGATGATTCCCTCGTACGAGGCTAGAATCTTCGCACGTCGAGAACGCGTGTTGTTCCTCTTCGTCAAAGGAGACAGATAGGGAAGACATGTGTCCCTTGCGGAATTTAGGTTGCTTGGTGGACGTGGCTGCTTGGTAGCACTCGAGGTTTGGATGGAGGTATCTTTGGTGGGGAGACCACGGATAGAGTAGGGATTGGGGATTTTGACTTGCTCGTTGGAGGTATCATTGCAGTAGCGGGCTGCGTAGGGGCTTTCTTCACCTTTACACCAACAGTAGGGCCTAGGACTAGGTCGGCATGCCCTCCGCTACGGCGAAATTCTGAAGCCTTGAACAGATTCTCACTGTCACCTTCGGCGTCCACGCGCATGTCGCAGGAACTTGCGAGGGTCAAAGTGAATGACTTGCACAGAGAATACGGACGCAGAGGCTAGATGCGGAAACGGAAGAATCAAAGGTGGAATTCGAATTCGAGGACCGGGTGGACTTGCGAGTGTTGCTCTGTCAGGCGTTGAGCGTCGATAAACTGGAAGCAGAGGGAGTAAGTGAATGTTCCGTGGAACGACATAGGTGAGAAAGATGCAAGTAACCTAACCGAGTCTTCCTTCCGCTCTACGCTAAAGTTGTCAAAGTCGTAGTTTGAACCGATTGTTGGTCGCTTTCCGAATTGCATCAAGGTAGTATCGCATGGGCGTCCCGATCAACAGGTGCTGTGTGTCATGAAGATACAATTCTGTTGTTTGTGTATGAAGCGCGGACGGTTCGATATGGTGCTGGATCTGTTCAACTATTTTTACACACAATATGCACACATACATAAAGGATTTACACAACACAGAGTCGCGTACCGTTGCCGAGATGTATCAGGATGCTTTGGAATTAGCGTGACTTCCCGTTTTGGTAACACCGCACGACGACAAAATGCTCGAGCTCGATGTTGAGGACAGCGAGCTCAAATAGTTGCCTAATCCTTCACCCTTTTCACTAGTTCTTTTGAGGGAAAAAAAATCACCTGTAGCTTAACTATGCTTACTTTTGGACAACACAACCCTCCTTCCCCACCTTCTCCTCCCCCCACCCTGACCGCTTTTCTGGTATTTTCTGGACTCTAATTGAATATTTCTGGCTTTGTAGAAGTTCTAATATATTTATACAATAAATACATCATTAATTGAGCCCATAATAAGCCCCTCAGAGCGCCCAGTATAAATACATGACAGGAATGGGTGAATATTGTAAGTATGGAAGATTTATGGGCATAGTTAATTAGCTACAGTTGATTTTTTTTCCCTCAAAAGAACTAGTGAAAAGGGTGAAGGATTAGGCAACTATTTGAGCTCGCTGTCCTCAACATCGAGCTCGAGCATTTTGTCGTCGTGCGGTGTTACCAAAACGGGAAGTCACGCTACTCCCAATGCATCCTGATACATCTCGGCAACGGTACGCGACCCTGTGTTGTGTAAATCCTTTGTGTATGTGTGCATATTGTGTGTATAAATAGTTGAACAGATCCAGCGCCATAGTTCGAAGGGATCAAACTTACGCATGCATCAAGGGAACGTTCAAATCCAAAAAAGACGCTTATTGGCATGGTCGACTCCAATGAGCAAGTCTTCGGGCCGCAACTCGCTCAACGTAAGTAATTCGGTCCTCTTCATCATGTGACTATTATCTTGGCATCACTCCAAGTGGTGAGCTTGTTTATTAGGGTTCCATGACTAGGCATTGTTACACAGAGGATTGGGTTCATATGTTTGCCCACGGTGACTTCAACACGCGTTATATTTGACGATAACTGCTATCATTGCGTCTCCAAGTCATCTTACTTACCTCCATGTTACATGCAAGCGTCATTGGCTCACCATGCAGAGAACCTTCACAGTGTGTCTCATTCGAAAAATCCCCAAAACATGACATTGTAGCGCCTAGAGGACGAAGAACACCGAGAGAATTATGGGCCTGGGCGGAGTCAACTTCCATCGACCTCAGGCTGTAAATTGAAGGAGTCGGGAGGTTGAATGATAGTGTTGTCCTGGGGAGCGCCAGCGAGGAGAGAAAAGTCAGAGTCAAAGTGCTAGACCAGGGCACCTTCCACTGCGGCCGGAGGTACAATTTCTCGTCGTCGTACTATGTATGACTCATACTTTGTGCTTCAGGCATTCGCCCTCCTCATCTTCGAACACCTGCAGAGCATCCATCTCCCCATGTACTACCTCGCTGCAGAACCTCGCCAACTCACTGTCCGAAGTTCTGACAAAAAGCTTCTGCATTCTCGAGTCCATTCCTCCTGAACGCGCAGCATGCCGGACAAGTTTCCAATGGATATCAGACAACTCTGTTTGCGGATCACTAATGTGATATGCAAGCTTCGATCGAGTCAATCGAGGGTGAGTGCATTAACTTTTGATTTCATCCAAATTAAAAACTTACTTCGGTCAATCAAACTAGGAACAGATATCGTCCCTACGACTGGCTAGAGGAGACTAATTCTAGCCATAAAAGCCCCAGATGGGGTGTATCTAGTACGACCGCCATCGTGATACGTCTACCAAGTTCGCCGCTCTCCCTCGAAATAGTATGCCCCTAGTCTCCGATGTGATCCCAAATGGAGGCCGTTATTCAATGCAAACTGTATTTCCAGCTTTCAGCCACGACTATAGTTCAACCGCCTTTCCATTTTCCATTTTTTCCAGCTACCTTGTAGGTCCGTGGATAGCTAATGATGGTGACTGCGGTTTCGCAGTTGCCGCCTCTTAGTGCTGCACTGAATCATGGGTGAGCAAGTTAGTATTTTCGGACGAGCCGTACACCTTGAGGTTGATCGCCTCTACCGAGACTTAACACTCTTTGATTGATATAGGTATTGTTACAATTTCCGCTGGGACTACTCCTCGGCTCTTCCAAATTCTATACTAGTAGATCTCAATTCCAACGCTGATTGCGAGATCGCATCTTCATCTGCGAGCATGCGCAAGCAGAATGTGACAACCACGCTTAAGTTTGCGATGATTAGAGACACAGATGCCTACACGGGGATAAATGAGCCTGTCTGAGCACTGAGCGTTGATACTATACCTCGAACATGGCAGCCACTGCCTCCTTTAGCTCTCCATCGGTAAAGACGTAATATGCATGGACAAGACTGACGACTGTGATGATTGCTGATGTGGAGAAGATGCAGATCACCCGGATTCTTTGCGACGGCGTCAATGTGGCTTTGTGAATGAGAAGAAATGGAGCCAAGATAAGAACAGTGTCCCCTAGAACGTCGGCTGAAAAAAAGATCAGAAAACTGATGGTTTGTATCGAATGAGCTCGACCTACTGACGATCTGTGCTATCGCAACGTTTCTGCCGAGATTGCACTGCGGACGCGGTTGCTTTTTCCAGCTGGGATCAGATTCACAAGTCCACCACACTTGTGCGAAAAGTACAGCCCATACCACGCCGAAGATGATCGCGATGCAGACAAGTATCCTCCTTTGGGTCCCATAGTACGCAAGTCGCACGACTGTAAACAAAATGGATAACCGGGAACACCTGTGCGCATATGTCAGTTGTGTCCTCGACATACTCACAGCCTCTCACCAAACAACCCCGTAAAAGCATTGTGCTAGCCTAATGTGCGCAGCTGTAGTGTCTCTCAAACACCACGATGTAGTGGGGAACGCACGTGTAATACAGTGCTACCTTTGCCCATTGAGGGTGAAATACTGTGTGTCTTCAGAACGGCGTATGTTAATGACATGCAGTAAACCCACTGTAGCCTTTCAGATACAAAGCACTACAAATCATTAGGCCGATATTGAATATCATGGCGCAGGCTGCCCATGCATCATCGATCCACAGAATTCCTCGCCGCTTGCGGATAAACAAGCGGAAGGACGTGACGACGGTCGCCACAATGGGCAGAACATAGTTGACAACTTCGAACAAGCGTCAATCATAACGCAGCATCGAAGTCGACGAGAATTCTCACCTTGCGTCTGAGCGAGAGTCGGGCCTGAAGACGACATCGGGTCGAGGAAGATTTACCCATCCATTCCTCTCAGAACATATGTTTTGTCTTACCGGAACCCCTGTTTCGATTATATTGTCTGCTTCTTTCTCGAGATATATGAGAGAAAATATGTTCCAATTGGCCACCCAGTTGGTTCAGAAAACAATGGAAAGACCGCCTGCTGTCAAGGCCTCTGCCCCACTTTGCTTCATGGAGCCTTTACTCGGAGCCGCTGAAAAGTTTTTGCCCCAACGTCGTGCCTCGATCACACCGAAACATAGGGGCCAAGTCACATCAGATAAAATAATTCCTAACCGTGACACAAAAAAAATTAAAGTGTAATTGGCTAATTGCGCTCACTTGGAAATATGCCCAGTGGGTCAAGGTGCCACGCGTATGTTTGAAGTGCTGGAAATTTCAGATGTTAATGAAATTGAAGAAATACTCTGGCCCGGGATTTTTAACTCGTCAACACAACAGTTTAAGCTTTTAAGGTTTCCGCAACAAGGTAGACGTGGAACGGTAGACTCAGAAGCACACCCAACTTGCTTTTCGGTCCAATAATGAGCCAAGGGTCAAAACAAAAGCTGTACACACCCTCTGAGATCGATACAGAACGGTCATGAGCGACCAAGGTTGCCTGTGCCGCGAATGAATCACATTCTTCACGTTTTTTCTTGATGAGGGACTCTGCTCACCTAGATCAGTTCGACCTAAGAAACCATCGTTAACGAGCTGGATTTTCCGGTGTCTTAGACTTATACCTCTTATTAATCTTGAACCAGACCCGGTCAGTGACTCAGTCACTGACTCACTGGGTCTGTCTTTAGTTGTCAAGGCTGCTTCGGATTCTTCCGCGCCAAAGTGTTGTTTTCAACTCCGCATTGGCTGACATAACTTTTTGTCATTTTGTCCGAACTTGTCGAACCGTTCTTGAATACATATCTTGCTCACCCCAATCGTACATCGCCCCAACTGAGGCAAGTTGACCGCGAAACTGCGATCGAGGTTAGATCGACACACGCCATCTTGCGGCCTTCTTTCACTAGCTCTCCACGAACATTGCTGGATCGGAACGTTTGAACACCGCAAACGATTGAAGAACTGTTCGACAACTTGTTTCTCATGTCATTCTTGAGATGATGTTGCTACACTTGTGTCAGGTAAAGACTTCCATCAGTGTGATTAAGTAGTTCGTTGATGTGACAAACCCTGCCGAATTTTCGACAATTCTCACAAACACTGGGCCACACTCTATCCTGGTCACTGGAGGCCTGAGTACTCAAAGCCAGAGCTGTACGCTCCTGCAGGATCACCCAACAAGGTCACGTTGTGTTAGCATGACGCTAGACTATAAAATTTGGGCGCAAGATTTGGGGTGCGCCTGGCTAACTTCTGGACGCCCAAGTTTTGAAGCTGGCCTTACTATTAGCGCCATGCATGTGCAAGCATAACGCACGTAGGGAACACTGGGTCTGGCGTTTCTACCATCGTCCATTGTCTTATGTGGCGGTCGGACTTGGACTGAAGAATAGATACGCGAAATTGAATGTAAGTTACGGTGCCATCTGCCGTGTCGAGCAGCATAATATTGCCCAGTGTTGTATAAATTAATCCTCGAACGGTGAAGCAGACATTCCGGACTATCATTTGTGTGGGGAGACGACAGAGTTCCTCACGATCTAGACTTGCTATACTATGAATTTGTGGATGACGATGTCACGACACAGGAAAGAAGAAACAAGTGTCTTTCAAGCAAGGTCGCGAAGCTTCCAAATGATTTCAGCTTACCGCTCGTCCGACTCGCTGGGAGTGATGCATTGATTCAACGAGATCTGTATCAGTTTGTCTAAACACACTGCTCTTTTGGATATACTTTGGAACATTAAATAATGAGTATAGCGACAAAACTTGGAACAAAAACGTAGTGAAGCAGCAGTGTATGGGCCGATTTGTCCAGACCCACTTCTCGGACAAATCTTCGGAACATAACTACTTCAATAAATAAGTGCAGAGACAAAAATTGAAAGCAAAAGAAATCCTCCCCGCTCCCCGCACAGCGCCTGACCAGGAATACCCGACCAGTGGTAATTGCCTCGAGCATTTCCCGTCCTACACACTGCTGCTAGTTGATACATGCACGCGTTCTTGGAAAGCAATTGAAGAAGTCATGCCGGTTGCTGCGTTGGAGTCGGCCACGAGCTTGGCGTTATATTCTCGGATGCCGAGGATCAGGCGTGGTCCCAGCACAAACATCTGCACGACCGCAAAAATTTCAAGCAAACCATAATAAATCTGGGGTGCCATGGAATATGGGTCCTGTAGAAATGATGAACCGTTGCATGCAGAGGTCATCAACAGAATGGCATACTGCTAAAAACGTTGGAGAGAAGTTTGCGCCGATCGTGAAGCAAGATACAAAAACAAAGCTAAGAGGTGTAGAACTTCAGCAGAAGAAGGACACATTGGCATTATGAGCTCACCTAGAAAAGTAAACCACGTGAGATTTTATCAACACCGTGAAGAAGTTGGCAATCCCCCCTGCCGACTGTCGTCGCAATTCACGGAAGTGTTTTACAGCAATCCAAATTGCGAGACATAGTGCGAGGACCTCCCATACAGTACCGAATATCCAAGTAATGGAAGTAAATTGGCCATCTCCGTTAACATGACACTGGTAGGTGCCAGAGAGAATGGACTCCTCTGGTATTCGTCAACGAGCCTGGTGCACACAAGTCTTTCATGTATAATCAAGCTTACCTGCTGAACTATACATTGTTATCATGACATTGACTACTCCGGCGGTGACGGTGGCAGTCAGGAAGACTACGAGGAGAAGTATAAGCACCTTTCTGGATCGTTGATACATGGCGTGTAACCGAGTGAGCATGATGACTTGAGTGATGTTTCTGTCAAGTCAATATCGCTGACACATTGCAGCTGCGTTGCGTACCGCCCAGTATTGCATTGACGACGACACCCACCCAATTTTGTGATGTGTATACAATCAGGCCTGGAAAATCCAGGTGGTGATAAACCTCGGAGCATCACGCACTAAAAAGAAACTCACAGCTGTGACAGTCGTTATATTGCATCAGCCGGTCATGAATCAGACTCACCCCTTCATGGAGTGCAGTTGATTACGATGGGAATGACAAGCATTAGATCAGAATACTAACCGAATCTGTCAGCGGTATTGTCGGAACATTCACTGTATGCTGCCAGTCAGGGCCCCCAGAAACAAATATAGTGTATATCAGAAAACATACCTAGAATCTGGAGGCTGATTGTGGGAGATTATTAATCAGTGCAGTGCCAATTACTTAGCATTCCAAACATACACAGCATATGATATTCCAAGGTAGCGCGTCTAGCATAATTTCAAGTCAGCCCGACTTACCGACTACACAAGCTACGTACACTCAGATACAGAGCGGTCATGAGTGACCAGCGTTGCCTCTGCCACAAATTCATTGCATCTTCATATCGTTCTTACGACGTGTGAATCTGCTCACCCAAACAAGTTCAATCTATACAAACCATTCTGAGTGATATGGATGCTCCGACAATGATATCAACATACCTCTCGGCCAAAAGTCAGGGCTACAGAAACCATAAGAACATGAGCCATTCTTGATAACCATCTTGCTCACCCCAATCGTACATGACCCCAGCTGAAGCAGCAACTGTGAAACATTATATCAAGAATCTGCGCGATTGTTCAACTGGCTCTCCACGAACCATAAAAATAGCTGGAAATGCGCCACGTGTCAATGGCTGGCCAGAAACTAGTATCATTTGAGACTAGAGTCATCTTGTTAGAGGATGGGTGTGAGGGAGCGGCAAACCTGGTGGATGTATGAAGATAGTGTTCACATTAGTTATACCACCATGCAGTGCTTTTATCACCGAAATGAGCATCATGGGGGCGATATCCGTTACTGCATTGAATAGCCGAAGGACATATTTTTGCATGAGGCCAAGCAGAAAGGGGACACTCGATCTGGGGTCCCTTGATTGAATCATCATATAATGTTGGCTGAGCTACAAACCAGTCACATGCGCAGAACCGTAAAAGTTCGAAGAACTGTCCATCATTTTGGCGACTCGCTTCTGTTCTCCAGATATATGCTTTCTACCGATACGTCGATTCAAGATTTCATGATATCACTGACAAGTAAAATGGAAAAGTTGAGCCTAGGTGTGATGTCACGGTCGAACAGCTTCTTGCATCACATTGTGACCACCGGGCGTGGGGGGGGCGTAACGGCTGCTCTGAGTCCATTGATTATATTATGTCTGCATGACGCTAGAAAGTTGAGGCATCAAACATAGGTCTAGACGAAACAAACGATGTAACTCACATGTCCTACCTGGCCTGCCATCCCCTAGAAAGTAAGCGCATCTCTCAACACCTAATCTCCATCCGCATCCTCTCATGCGCACCTTCTTGCTCTCTGCCTCGGCCATCGGGCCATCATATCATGAGGATGCTAGAAATAGTAAGTGTAGAACTTGATTCAAAAATACTACAGTCTATGGAAGACAGGACTGCCGCGCTCCGTTACATAGCGTGACCACACTCATATTAGGCAGGTGTGATGCAGGGACTCCGTGCACCTCTGGCAGCTTTGTTTTTTCTAATAAATATGTGAACAAGTGCGGCCAAGTGTCATTCAACCGGACAACAAAAACAGTAACACAAAAAAGACAAACTCCACAGTAAGTTATGCCTCCTCCTCTATGATTGGAGCTGTAGGCAGTAAGTGTGCACCTGGTTCGTCCAACTCAGCTAGTTCATCCAGCCGGTGATGATCAGATGCATCTAATGTGCGGTAATTTAGCGCAAACTTTATTCAAACTGAGAAAACGTACCAATTGGACCCAAGTTGTCGAGGTATGATGAGTCCATGTCGGTGTGTTGAAAGAGGTATCCAGATGAACCTGCGTTGTATAGGAACAACTCATACCGCCGGCGTTGACGGACGTCCCTATAGACTGTAATCCAGAGGTGTG